ATTGCGCAACACTCTATTGCTGGACATCGATACACATCTGTTCTTCCACGGACCATACTTCTCCTCACTCTCTCTACAGGAAAGGTAGTTTTTCTTTCACATACATTTTGTATTCGTATCGCCATCAACACGATATTTTCTTTTTTCCATTTCATAGTAAAGGCTTATTATCCAAGTTTGAGGTTAATTACCCAACTTTGGTATAAACCATACGGCTACCGAACCCAAGCCAACATAACTGGAACGTCTATAGAAGGGACAAAAGTAATTGAAAATGAACAGATTTAAATCTATAACTAATCTGAGTTACTAGTGCTACATACGTGTGTCTAGTTTTCACACACTTAATTGAATTGTGCATCATGCTCGATTCGAACCAGTGAGCTTCTGCTTACTCAACAGACACTCTGCCTTTCAGCCAATGAGGCAGATTCAGATTCCTTGCAGACAAAATAAACTTCAATTATGCAGCCCGTCGCTTACTAAAACTTACTCAAAAATCGAAGTGATACGTTTTCTACTTATCAACGTTTCCTTATTGCTTACATTCCAGTGCGAGCTCAATCGAATTCAAAATACAACTTTTACTAGTTGCATAATTCTATGGGCTTCATTGCTCATAGAGCTCATTCTGAAACTTTTGAGCTATAAAAAAACGTTATACCTCTCATAAAGCTTATTGTGATGAAGCTTTGAAAGTGAAAAGACGCTGAGACTCCTATATCTACAGCTACGTTCTTTAAAATTGACTAACACATTGTGAAAAGGACTATCTTAACGATTTCCTAGAGTGCTTTCACATCTATTTCTAATGTCTTAGAGTCAATGAAATGAACATATAATATTTAAAGACCAATTAAGATTAGACTTTGTACGATTTTTCGGGTTTCTTGTGCTCCTCAATACCACTCTGCTTGCAGCTTTTCGTTAAAAGTGTTATTTGAATAATAAAATAAACTCGTAAATCATAACAACTTCCTCAATGGCGCTCCCTTATATTGCATTCCTATGTTTTCAATTTTCTTCATTGAAAAAAATACCCAATTAGATCCTTGTTTTGTTAATTGATTATTATTGCAGTGCTTCTTATGTATATGCACACTTATTGATTATATTTGTCATTTAATGATATGACAAATGATAACAATATGCTTACTGAAGATTATGACTCTTCCTCCAGCATGCTCGATATCTTGGCTTGTTCAGAATAATTTTCTTCTTTGAAAAGATAAGTTAAAGTGAAATATGCTTTGACGTTGATCAATAGCTGTTACGGAAGTGCCTATGTGTTTGTGTTCAATATGGATAACGTTGAGGTCATTAAATGCAAGTTTATGAGTTAACCACTGTTCACCATGTCAGTGCTGTTTGTCTTATCCAGACTAATCTGGCGGCAATTTTTCGACACTACAGAGGTGACAAGCTTGTTATGAATGACAGGAGATAGTTCGAATGTAAAGCGGTGCTGCATTTGCGTACCACCTCACCTCTTCATTACCACACCACGCGACATTGAGTACATTAGATTAGATGTGCTTTTGAAAAAATAAGCGTTTTTGCATAAAGATAAGCTTTCACGTTTAACAGCCCTTTTCTTAGGTTCT